GGCGAATTTCTTTTGAGATAAATAACGAGGTCGCGTAGGGCCGGCGAATTAAAAATTGAGGATGTCTCGAGCGAAACGCTTGTTTTTCAGAATTTGGTTGAGGATGTCTCGAGCGAAACGCTGGTTTTGCAGAGTTGGGGATGTCTCGAGCGAAACGCTTGGTTTCAGAATTTGTTGAGGATGTCTCGAGCGAAACGCTGGTTTTGCAGAGCCGACCGCGACACGGAAAAGCGCTCCTCGCGCAGGAATTCCGAGGATGTCTCGCGCGTGCCGCGTCCCGCACGCAGGAATTTTGATTTCTCTGGGTTTTGACAGGATTTCTCAAGCGAAACGCTTGTTTTTCATAATTTGTTGAGGATGTCTCGAGCGAAACGCTGGTTTTGCAAAATTGGGGGATGTCTCGAGCGGGGGCCTCGTGGGGGGCCAGAATTCAGAGGATATCTCAGGCGCAATGCTTGTTTTCGTGTCCCGCTCGCAGGAATTCCGAGGATGTCTCGCGCGTGCCGCGTCCCGCGCGTAGGAATTCGGATGATTGTGATAGGATGTCTCGAGCGAAACGCTTGTCCCCAGCACGTTCAGTAGCGCGTCCCCTTGGCACGTCCCGCGTTGCGACCCCATGGCACGTCCCCTGGCACGTCGCCTGGCGCATCCCTTGGGACGTTTCGCGGCGCGTCCTCCTGGCATGTTCCCCTGTCCATTAGCTCTGGGGCAGCTACTATGTGTTCAGGCAGCTCGAGCTTAAGATCCAGATCAGTTCGGTCAGGACTCGGATGCAAAGGAGGACTCGATCCACGACGCTATAGAGCACAACCGCGGCATGGCACATCGCAATTCAGCACGGTGCAGCACAGCACAGCCCTCGGCAGGGTACATCAAGATCGATACACTCAGCATTGCAACTTGGCACGTTCCTTGGCACGTTCCGTGGGGCGTCCCTTGGCGAGTCCCCCTGGCACGTCGCGTGGCGCGTCCCCTGGCACATTCCGTGGCACATCCATTGGCACGTTCCGTAGCGCGTCCCTTTGGCACGTCCTACGGTGCGACCCCATGGCGCGTCCCCTGGCACGTCGCCTGGCGCATCCCTTGGGACGTTTCGCGGCGCGTCCTCCTGGCATGTTCCCCTGTCCATTAGCTCTGGGGCAGCTACTATGTGTTCAGGCAGCTCGAGCTTAAGATCCAGATCAGTTCGGTCAGGACTCGGATGCAAAGGAGGACTCGATCCACGACGCTATAGAGCGCAGTCGCGCCATGGCACATCGCAATTCAGCACGGCGCAGCACAGCACAGCCCTTGGCAGGGTACATCAAGATCGATACACTCAGCATTGCATTTGCCCGTCACCCAATCAGGTGTCTTTGAAAACGCTGCCATGTGTTACAGTTCTATATTCCTTTCCGGGTTCGTGGGTCGATCATGTTGGGCCATTTTGCTGCCGCATCACCAGCGCAGCTCTCAGAAGGCCAAGACACTAGGGCGCTCGCCACTCGCCAAGAAAAACACACCACTGTTGACCGAATTGGGTGCACGCCAAGATGCGCTGCAGACGGGGTCTGCACCGGCAACATCTTCTGTTCTACGGTGCTCGGCTGGCCTCTGTAGTAGTTGGCGGGGCCATCTTGGAGCGGGAGCGGGGCTCTCTTGGGGGCTGGGGCCCCTCTTCGGGGCCATTTTGGAAGAACACGCTCCGACGAGGGGGCGGCGTCGATGATTGTCGCCCCCCTGGGGATGGATAACTTTCAGGAGGAAAAGAAACACACAGATACAATTAATCTTGGATTCCCCAGAAGATATGGGAATATGGGAAGTGGGCGGGAAGACAAAAGCCCAGAAAATATAGGACAATATGGGGAATATTTTTATGTGTGTGTGTATTTATTTGTGTGTCCTTGGGCCCCTTCAAACTGGCCTCCTGGGGCCCTCGCTCCGTGGCCGCTCGGGGCGGTCCTGCGGCCCGTTGGAGGCATTTTAGAGGACACGTGGCGCTTCTTTGGGGCCAGCTTGCGCCATCCTGGACGTCACTGTCGGAGGCCTGGAAATTGGCACCGACACCAAGGCAGGGGGTTGCCTTCACAGGGGAGAGGTGATACTAGATTTTCGGTGTTGGTGGTAATAGTTCGGCCACCTTGGAAGCCAGAATATTACCACCATCGCCGAGATCGGGATCTTCTTTCCTCGGTGGAGGCACACCGCCGAAATTGGTGTTGGTGTCAATCTCTAGGCCTGCGACATTGTAAGCTATCTGGAGCCATCTTGGTGCCACCTGGGCGCAAGCGCCTCCCAGGGATGACACCGACCTGCAAACATCTGTCAGAGACCTACGCTTTCGCAATGGTGGTGACTTCGAGCGAAGGGGGAGGAGGGCACGAAACTCGCCCTGCCCCGAGCAGTTGCCCCTTGAGTCCCTCTTGGGGCGCTCTCGGACGCTCTCCGGGGGAGCCGTGGAGCCTCCTTTGGTTCCGCTTGGAGCTGACTGGACCACCGTTGGAGTCCTCTCGGGGCCTCCAACGGCCATCGGAGGCGACACGGAGACAGTACACGTTTCACTTTTTTGTTTTTATAAAACAACGTTTCACTGTGTTTCTCCTGTAGGTTTTGGAATGGTTTTGGTCTCCTGGGGGCATCCTCGCGGGCTCCGTGGCCACTCGGAGCCGTCTTCGTGGGGTCTCGGGGCCTCTCGGAGGTGCATGTCGTGGAGGCCATCGTGAGCCGTCTCCAGCTATCTTGCGCCATCTTGGCGGTCGTCTTGGACTTTCTTGGGCCCTCTCGGAGCCATCCTGGGCCATCTCAGATTCTTCCACCGCCTGGCTGAAGAGAACACCCGTCCAGACAGAGGGTGACGAGTGGAGGAGAAGGAGGAGGAGGAGGAGGAGGAGGAGGAGGAGGGCCCCTTCCCCCTCCAACTTATGGTGGTGGCGGTGGTGGAAAACGGGCCCATCACACTGGGCCCATGCGTGCCAGGCGCGCCTGGTGCGCCAGGTGCGCCACGTGCTCCACATGTAGCGGTGGTGCGCCTGCGCATGGCGGTCCATCGGATGCGCGCCGCGTCCGTGCCACGGAGCAGTGCAGAGGAAGTGCCGGGCGCCGGGGCACGCGTTAGATGTTGCCGCAGAGTGCACCCTGTTTTCTGGCAGGGGTGATCGGGGGTGTGGCCTTGTTCCTGGTCGGTCGCCGGTCGAGCAGGGGAGGGGGTGTTCATGAACAAGGAGCGGTGGTAACCCCTCCTCCAGAGGGAAGAGGGGGGTGGAGGAGGACACGGGCTAAACCACCTCTGCCCAGAGGGCTAGAGGGATCTCTCTTCTGCGAGCGCCTGGCTGGAGGTCTCTTGAAGTGTCTCCTGGAGCAGGCACCCGTTGTTTTTGGGGGCATCTTGGAGGTCCAGGAGCTCGCTGGGCTATCTTGGGACGGTCCCTCGGCGTCTTGCAGCCGTCCGGGGCGGTTTTTGGCTGTCTTGAGGCGAGCAGTACGCTCTTGGGGCTGTCTTGCCACGCTTCTTGTGCCGTTTTGGGCGGTCTTGGGAGCTTCTAGCTGCTCTCTGAAGCCTTCCCAGGCTTTCTGGAGAGCGTCGGAGGTACAACGAACGAATTTCCAATTTTGCTTCCATTTTATTTCATCGCTTCGCTCATTCCGCTGGCCCATGGAGTTTCCCTCCGCTCATAAGCCAAAAACCTTCAGAAACCTAATGGACATCACTGAGTTTTGCCTCTTGGGGCTCCGTTTCGGAGCCTTTTGGGGTCTGTTTCGGGCCTCTTGGCGCCTCTTGGGGCCTCTTGCGGGCCTCTTGGGGCGTCCTGGAGGCCTCTTGGAGAGGAAGGCTCGGATTTTCGGTTCGTGGTCTCCATCTTGGGCCCCTCTTGGGGCCCTCTTGGGGCCCTCTTGGGCGCCTTTTAGGCTGTCTTGGGGGCCTCTTGGGCGGTCTTGGGGCTCTCTTGGGGGCCTCTGGGGCCGTCTTGGGGTGGTCTTGGGGGCCTCTTGGGCCGTCTTGGAGCGTCGGAAGGCCAAAAAGGCGAGGAAGCCAACAACCTTCAAAAACCTAAGGAAAATCATTGATTTTTGCCTCTTGGGGCTCTCTTGGGGAGGGTCGGGGCTCTCTTGGGACGTCTTGGAGGCCTCTTGGGCCGTCTTGACGCCGTGTTGGGCGTCTTGGGCCGATCGTTCTGTGATTCGGAGCCCTCTTGGACCGTCTTGGGGGCCTCTTTTGGCCCTCTGGGCGCGCTCCGGGGGTCGTGGAAGGCCGCGCCCAGGAGGGAAAACATCTCCGATTAATAGTTCCCGGGCTTCGGTCGGGTTACTTTTCGCCGGGGGGCCCCCAAGGGCCGCCCCGCGCGCGCGAACTAGAATTAGAATTATTGTTAACCAGTTACCGGAGATCTTAGCACGCCTCTGGCTCGTTGGGCCGGCGAATTTGCCTCTGATGGCCTTGTCAGAGGCCCTTTTGAGCGTCTCCTGAGGGCCTCTTGGGGACTCTGGGGCATGTGGGGAGGATCTTTAAGTCCCTTTGGGGCTCGTCGCCGCCGTTCTCGGCGGGCGTGCCAACTGCCTCGGTGCCTGCTGGTCTTGTGGTCTTTCTCGCTCTCGCCCTCGTTGTAGTCGCAGTCGGAGTCGTACAGTGGAAGCCCATGCCAGAAACAGCCTGCTTGCCTCCAGGGTGCCCTGGGTTTCTGGGGTTTCGATGGTCTTGCTGCGGAGAGCGTGACGCTACCACATCATACAGCAAGTGACGTCCTTGGGTGTCAGGGTTGGGTTTCTTGTGGACGTTTTTTTGTGGTCGAGCTCCTACTGTAATCGTAGTCGTCGTCGTCGTCGTCGTCGTCGCTGTCGTCGCCGACGTCGTCGTCGTCGTCGTTGTTGTCGTCGTCGGCGTCGGCGTCGTCGGCGTCGTCGTCGTCGTCGTCGGCGTCGTCGTCGTCGTCGTCGGCGTCGGCGTCGTCGTCGTCGTCGTTCGTCGTCGGCGTCGGCGTCGGCGTCGTTCACCATCGTCGTCGCCGTCGCCCGCCGCGCAGGCGCCACGCACTCGGTGGACCCACGGTGGATGGACGCCGCGCCCCTGAACATGTCGCCCCTGTTCGCCTCCGGCGAGCTCCTGTCCATGACCTGCTTCGACCGCTTCGCCGTCGAGGACCTCCCTCGTCGTTGCTACTCCCCTCTGACACGTCCGTCCCTGCCTTTCCTTGCTCCTCACCAGGGTCTCCAGGGAGGCCCCCACGGCCTCCAGAGCATCCCTCGCGAGGCCCAGAGGGCCCCAGGGGCTCCAAAGTCAAACGAAAAGCTGGGGGCACCTTGGACCAGGGGCACCTTTAGCAACCCGCGGCCAGGTGGCTGGGGTGCCTTGCGTGCGCGTGCGTGGTTTGGGTTGGAAATCTCTCTCTCTCTCTATTGCCGCTCTTAGCTGGCCACCATCTCAGGGTATGAGCGGTGCGCCGAAGGCCGTGTCGCCTTTGGGTCCTGGGGACGCTTGTCCGAAAGCGTACGACAGGTCTCTGTCCTCTCGTCCTTCCTCCATCCCTCCCCCCTCTTCCCTCCGGCCTCTTTCCTCGTTTCCTCGGTGCGGAGGCCCCGTCTCCGCCCTCCTCATTGTTTGCCCCTCTTCTCAGTAGATAACTCGGCGGCGCGCCACCCGGCGAGTCGGTATTGTCGGCTGGGCATTCCGCTTGATATTGCAAAGGCCTTACGGCCAGTGCCGCCGACCTTGCGAAGGACGAAGATGAAAACGAGGGGGGGCAGGGGGAGGAGGATGAGTGGGAGGTGGAGGAAGGGTGCGGGAGGTGGATGAGGGAGGAGGAGGGAGGAGAAGGATGTGGAGGAGAAGCAAGAGGAGGAGAAGGAGGCAGAGGAGAGCAGGAGGAGGGGGAGCAGAGGGGGGGGAGGAGGAGGAGGAGGAGGAGGAGGAGGAGGAGGAGGAGGAGGAGGAGGAGGAGGAGGAGGAGACCTAGTTAGGCAACCAGTTGGGATTAAGCGCCCCCCTTGGGAGTCGCGCCATGGTTCATCATGGTTCGGCCTAGTCCCAAAATGGTTCATCCAAGCCCCCTGCGAGGCCCTGTCCGATCATGGAAGGGAAGAGGGTACAGGAAGAGGAGGGAGCTCTCAACAGAAAGCAGAGGGCGGAGAGGAGGATAGCGATGAGAAGGATGAGGAGGAGGAGGGCGGATATCGGAAGAGGGGGAGAAGAGGGGCAGAAGGATGAGAAGGAAGTGAAGATGAGGGGTAGCGAGGATGACGGAGCGAAGGTGAGAGAGCAAGCAGCGCACGATGCCCTTTGGCAACAACCCCGCAATGAATAACATGTGCTCCTAACTGCGTAGGTGGTGTTTCATTCCTGTAATGGGTTCCCCCGCTTCTGTCGAAATGTCAGGCTTACCCTCTCTTATGGCAATCAGTAGTGCAATCTTTCTACAACAACAGTATATACCAATTGCCACACTCCGCAAATAACAAGACACATCCCTGATCATTATTAGCATTATGCGTGTCATCCCCTCCGGAGGCATTTAACCTCCAGCTTCCGATACTGAACTTGTCCATTGTCGCTTCATGGTCTTGTGATGTGTGATGTTCTTGTCGTGTGAATGGAAGTCGCTGGGGACGAAGACTCCCCTCGTGAACTAGAATTCCTTGGAGATGATGATATCAGCGGCCCTCCGAGGGCCAGGCGCCGCCCACGCCAGTCTGCACTGCGCACTGTTGGCCTCTTTCGCGTGTGTCTCATTGTGGCCTCCTGTTTGTAAAAATGGAGATGCAAAATTTGATGTACCACCTGGGCCCCATATCATTGGAGCAGTGTTGTATCAATCTGTTGTTGTTTGCGAATCGGATGCTGGCCGGAAATCGAATGGAGATTTCAACAAGTTCTTTCCGCATCTTGGTAGGGTCACGAGAGCTGGTGACATATTTGGGGTCATATCGTATGTTGCACCCGATCGCATCAAGTTTGAGAACCCAGAGCTAGTAGATGTAGAGGTGCAGCAGTCAATCGACACACGTCGGGACAGAGGCCTTCGAAACTTTGAACTCCGTGGGCCAGAAGACAGGTTTGGCATTGTTCGGGAACTGCTGTGGTGGAACCCTGAATGTTCGGTATTTTCATTATGCACGCTGGTGCCAACCCTGGCTTCTAGTGTAATTGGCGGCGCGCTCTCCGTGTTTCATGGCGCTCCGATCACGGCCAAGTCCAAGAGGGCCAGAATGTTGAGACAACCGCCAACAAAAACATCAGGCGTCTCTTGGGCCATCTTCGGGCCTCGTCAGGGCCCATGTCTTTGGGGTCTCCAGGTTGTGGTGGCGAGCGCGTTCAGACGACCGACCGAATGTTGAACTTAGCTGTCGATCCGTTGTTGTTGATCGATTGGGTAGGGGCCTCGAAGTACGCAAGAAGCGTGAATACCATACATGGAGCCGCCGATGCAGTCAGACGTATCTTCACAAGATGTGCGCACATCCCGTTGGGCGAAGTGTTGGACCTCTTTGAGCCAGTGTGTCTGGAAACGCTTCGTAGAGCTCGGGTCCGCCTCGATATCACTTCCATGTTGATGACTCGGTCGCTGTTTCATGATCTATCACGAACTGTCCCACCCAACAGCATTACTATCCATACTTATTGATGCGTCTCCTCAACGAAGGGGTTTGGAGCTGCGCGCGCCGACGGTCGAGATTTGGGCTAGTGACACATTCATCAGAAAGATGAGGCCTGCGATTTCGTTGGGGAGGGAGTTCGTTGACAGGGTTGGCGAGACGATCGCGACACTTTAGCAACTGTTTCTGTTATTCGGACCGTCGATCGATGTTCTTAGCACGGTGTGCGCGCGTGTCCGCTCAGCCACAACGGATCAAGGTGCCGAGAGATTCATTCCAAGCGTGCCAGGGCCCCTTGGGGATTTTCCGAACTGCTCGACAGGAAGTTCAGGCGCGACACATTCGAGGATCAACAATTCATGTTCGTGAGATGCCTTGAGTCGCCAGGCTGGTGCCATTTGTGGGGTTTGCTCCTGCGACGTGGTCTTTTTATCGTTCACTTGGTTCCCGACTTGTTTCAATGGCACGAAGGCTATTGCACATTGGTTGCGGCAGCAACCCATAAGAGACATCCTTGCCCGCGAACGGGGCAAGACAGGAAGCCAGGCGCCGCCGGCGTCGTCCAATCCTTGAGGCCCCCCCATCCTTTGCGCAGTGGAGATGGCAGACGTTGCGTGCTGTATGTGCTGCGTTGAACACTGGCATCGATGCGCTCGTAGCTTCTTGGGACCCCCTGCTATTGGCCACCAGTAGAGATAAGGAGTTCGTCGCGGCTGCGACGGGCGCCTTGAGATCACAGAAACGGGGGCGGCTTGTTTGATGTGTTGAAGTGGTGCTGCGATTGGTTGCGCCATTTGTTGTCTTGGGGCCAAGGCTGCGCGTGCCGCCAACCAGGTGATGGCGATGCGTCGCCTTGCTCATTCAAGGGCCGCCGACTGCCAGAGGCGTACCACTACGCAATGCCACGCCATCTCGCTGGTGTTGAGGAGGTCAATGCGTGGTCGGCTGCTTCTTTAGGCCTCCCTGAGAGAGCCGTGAGAGAGATCCAAGGGCGCGTGAGGGTGGTGGGCTCACTGGCGAGGCGCAAGCTTCATTACTTGGACAGGATTCCACGCCTGCTTTCCCGAATGGGCGAGCCAGGCGTTCGAGACATATGCATTCACCAGCGGGGACAGATACCAGCAAACATGCACCACCGAGTGTTGAGGGAATTCTTGTTGCCTGGCAGTTTGCTTCGGGACAAGTTGAGGCTCTGGCAGATGGCGGCAGTGGAGTGCTTTCAGAACTGGCTGCTGAAGTCTCCAGCTTGCGCCAAATGCCCATTGATGACAGCGTGCGCGAGCGGCCTCGCGCCGTGGGCTCGCGGGTGGCCAATCACTCGCGAGCCGCAGAGTGGCCGTGGATCGCCAGCGCGATGCGATTTGATCAAAACCTTGATGATCAAAACCTTGATGATGTAGACAATGTCCGTAAGGTTTGGGGGTCTTATCCGTCAATCATCCGAACGTCTCACGTGCGGCGGCGTTCTCGGCTCCAGACCGCCTCCCGAATTTCCAGAGAGAAGCTAGAGGCCAACGTGTATTCGATGGCCCACCTTCTGTCCGACGACGTCGGCCCAGCCGCCGACGACCCTGGCGATGGCCCCGGTGGCCGCGGCCCAGGCGGTGGTGCCCCATCGCCGCCGCACTTTGGGCCGATCGTTCCACGAGTCCGAGGGGCCCCTGATGGGCCGTGTGGAGGCGCTGGAGGTGGAGGCGGAGTTGGAGGCGGCGCTGGGATTGGGGCTTTGTCTGGCCACGCCGCAATTCAAGCGAAGCTGGTTCGCCAGTGGTTGTCGGCTTCGTTGGAGGTGTTCTCATTCATGTCGCTGCCAACTCGCAGCGAAGACGGAGTCGCAGGACCGCTGCTCCTGCAAGTCTTGGCGCTCGAGGGGGGGGGGGGGGGGGGGCATCGTCGCGAGGGCGTGCGAAGGCGAGGTCGCCCCGACGGGCAACCCTGTAAGCTTTGACCCGGCTGAGGCCCGGGGGAGGCTTGAGGGGGGGGGGGGGGGAAAGGGGGTGAAGAGGGGGGTCGTGGGTGGGAGGAGGAGGAGGCGGGGGATTGCTGGTGGTAGGAGGCTTAGGTGAGGGAGGAGAAGGAAGCTGAGTTGTTGGACTTTGTTTCTCGAGAAGGGCTGGGGCGCAGGAAGCGAATCCAATGGCAACTCTGACTGCGAGTCTACTGGGGCGTCGGGGAACATGTCGCAGCTTCCGAAAGGTAGGGCCCCGAAAGGCCTCCTGGCAAGCCCCTGAAACATCCAATGGGGCGCTTGGGGGGTCTTCTGGCGCATTTTCTGAGAAGCGCGAGGGGGGCGGGCGGGGTCTCAGGTTCGCGCGCGATAGGTCTTGGCTCCCCAGGTTCACCAGAAAGGCGTGTGCGCGATAACTGCCCAGTCATTCGAACGGTGGGGGCTTCTTGGAGACGAGTTAGAGTTGGGGGGTGGCGTTCATTGTTTTCCAGTGGCAGACTCTGGTCAACTCGACATTGCCGCGCTGTTTGGTGGGCCAGCGGAGCTGCAGCGTGACAAAATACAGATGTGGGAGGTTCTGCCATCTCAGGTTGACGGGTGTG